GGACCCAACGGTTTCGACTAAACGTAACAATAGAAATAAAAGCCATCTACCAGGGGTGCGTTCCAAAACCTACAGTAAAACTATAATTACATCTCTATACGTTTTGGATCGCAGCCCTGAAAGGTAAAATCCCCGCTCCGGGTGAGTATACCTGCTGCGTGCTATTAGAGCCTCGACGCTGCTCAAGAGATTTGTTGCGCTCGGAGGCCATTACTTCCGAACGGCTGCGAATTTCGATTTAAAACGTTGGGAACATATTCTTACAATGTTAAATAAACATTTTATGCAAAAAAAAAAAAATTCGATTTTTTGAAAGTTCTAATTGGATTTCCCCCCTTAAATCTTATTGCATACTTTGTCTATGCAAAAGAAACAGAGAACAGAGGGGCTGTTCAGAACATATTGCCTTCTTTTTTCTGACTGTATGCGGAGTCTATGTATATTATGTCTATGATCTCTTTCTACATATTGGCTATACTTTTCTGGCCGTATGCGGGGTCCATGTATACTAATTCAAATGATATTGATGAATGTATACATTCAAATGATGAAATAATTTAATCACGTATATGTAAATTCTTCGGAGAGAATTTGTTTAGTCTCTATCATGCTTGTCAAAAGACAATTGCGCATTCCATCTTCGCAGGAATAGACAGAAAAATTCTCCTATGTTTTGTCTCTCTCTTTCTCCCCTCCTTCTTCTCCCTCTTTCCATTCCTCTTCTCTCTTTTTTCCCGTTTTGCCAAGAACATGTATGCTGAGTTTATCTTAAATGACGTCTACGGAGAGCACATGATTATTCGAAGCGGATTTGCAGAGTTTACCGTGCGATCATTATCGATATATTGATCAAAATTGCATATAAATAAGCCCGTGCTATCGCTTCATGTCCGATGATTAAAATATCGACCTTAAAGTAGGAAACGAAAAAGTTAATGGGACATGAGGGGGTTTCCATACAGCAATATCATGTTCGAGCTTATGATATTATACGGAAGGCACGTGCAAGCTCGCGAGACGCGCTAGCATGTAAATAACGTGATAACTTGTTCAAGACGACGTCGTCGAGACGGCCATTATTCGCTGCTAGGTTGGTCCGGATCTCATCAAGTTGCTCCTGCAACTTCGCCCTGCTCGTGACGACCTCTTTTTCATCTTGTTCCTCCACTTCTTCTTCTGTCTCTGCTTGATTCTCTTTATCGTTGTCATTATCTTTTGCCGTATCTTCGAGGTCATCTCGTTGTCCACCACCTGATCTTGCAGCTCTGATATCGTCGATCTTATAATCACAATTGCTAATTTTATTGCCGACATTTACAAGTGGACCGCACGTGTGAATCGTTCAAAAACATTGATTCATAAATATATATATTCCTACCAATTTTTGAATAGTGTCGGAGATTAACGTTTTCACGTGAATGTAATGTATCCCGTAATGATCTGTGAGGTATCGAGCGACCCGCGTTTTTCCGGACGCCGGCGGACCAAGAACGATTATTTTCACTGGGTGTAAATTTCGCGCTAATTTATATTCTTTTATAATCTCGTCTAGAGCATCTCGAAATGGCATGCCATATTGCCAGCGTATCTGATCGATAACGTACACTGGATCGATATTCAAATCCATAGTCATATTATCGTATATCTTCTGTGAAACCTCTGGTAACAGTAGAGCCTCTTGCTTCGTTATGCTTTTCACCTTACCGGTACTGAGTCTTCTACTGATTTCCTACTCAACAATATAAGTCGATAATTAAAAATATTTTCTCTGGTTACATTTTTATTTCGGCAGACTTCTTTTTTTGTGTCTCTTTTGAGAATTATCAAAGCATTTGATATTGCACGATATTGATATTACGCAAACTTATATAGTCTTATTTACATGAAAAATGTATTGATAAGTTACGAAGCCGAGTTAGTATCCGGCGATCTTTCAAGAAGCTTGTTAAGACTGATCCTAAATGCTTGATTCTTTTCTCTGCATTACTTTCATAAACCAGTTTATTCAAGTAGGACGAAGGATGTTTCCAAAACTGGTTTGCGCCGGTAAAGCGGAATATAAAGTAGGTTACAAACGTCAACCCCCATTCCGAATAACTAGTCAATATACGTTTTCATGGAAAAACCTAACAGCGACGGAAGCTTTATAGAGATAGTTTCGTTATAGTAAATGTAAATTTTTCTTCGACTTTTTTACTGATCTTGTACTGTTACCTTTACGAAACCTGAGTCTCTCAACAAGAATAAGAAAAATGATACAAGCGAGAAAAAGAAATGAAATATGGCGCGAAGATAGATTTAACGTGATATGTTCTGTCACTTGACACACGTATGTATTTCAAAGTAAGCGATACCTTAACGATCGTATTCTGAGAAATTAATTCACGCTCCACTGCGACGATGTACCTCTTCGCAGGCCAATTTTGCAGCACCGCGGATATGATTCTGAAAATCAAATTACCGATAGCGGATCTGGTAAATTGTACAGTTTGAAGTTCAGTGCGCGCTACTGCACGCAGTTCCAGTATTAATTTTCAACACTGGCATGCATATCGACATTAATACGATATTAAACTTTTACGAGCTGTTTCACGACATGTTTTAAAACAATGCATACGATAAAATAATCAATATTGCTGAACTATTCTCATAATGTATAAGCACATATTATACAGAGTATTAACTCTATAATATGTAATATATCAAGATATTACGTAAATTTTATAATTGTAAATACCAGTAGAGGAATGTTCTTGTCGTGATTCAATGTTGTGACCGAATATAGTTCTTGATATTAAATAGAAAAAAATCAAATCAATAAGAAATTAATATTTTTTACTCTCTGCATCTTTATTTACGTAATAAGCCAATAAAATAAGCCGTCCTGGTTGAATGGAATCTACCTTCAATATTAAAACTAATATTAAAGTTTAATCTCTTTGATGTTAATTTAAAATATCTACGCGATTCCTCCCAAGGCAGGTTCTTTTAATAAGTTTATCTACATTTCTTTTCTTTTTATTGCCATATATATTTTTCTTAGAAAAATATTGAAAAAATAGAATATAAAATATATCTAATTTGTACTTGTCAGGAATTAAAAATAAATACAATAGTTTAAGTAAATAAAAAGGAATTTTATATTTTATTTCGAAATTTTACGAATTTTTCGGAATTTTTGCATACTACTTAAGGAGTTAACTACTTAAGGAGATAATTGATATTAATAAGAGGAAGTCTCAATACAATGGAAAAAAGCCAGAAATTTTTTTATAAAGCGTTTTGTATTACATTGGTATCTTTTCGCTCTTTTTTAAATATCGAGTATTAATTATACAACACTGATATCGCTTATTTCGGATACGAATAAGGGAAAACATTAAAGGAAGAACACAATACGTTCTTGTATTGGTGTTCTTTTTTTTATTATTACTTACGCGATCAAGTCGCGGACATGTAAGAGTGGTACTTTGTTATATCCTTTGCCAAATATCGGTAAGAATGGCATATTTTGCCATGCCATTTTGAAGAGATAGTGAAGCGGGCCTTCTTCTTCGCCGTACGTAACACCACAACAAATGACCAAGGTTCTCAGATTGCTCTTCAAATTAACACGCTTTTTCACAGTTATGACTTCTCTCTCGCATCGTATGTACTCCTTATAATTCGGATGTGGTTTCCGTTTTCTGTAGTCGGCCTCGGTGAACGGTAAATTCGGATCAGCAAGATCTAATGGTTTCGTAAGAGCCCACGTCATTATCGTAGAAATCAGTATAAAGTATCGCGTTGGCTCTTGCTGTTTGAAAACTTTCGGCGACTTTTCCTGCGCACATTCCAACGCGTGGACCATTTCTGAAAATCAAAGATGTTGTTCTTTCGATAAAAGCATTACGATGTGACATAACTTTTAAAATTGAATTTCGCTGTTTAATAATATGCGTAATTTCATGAAATTATTTTCTTTTAAATAAATTATGAGACGACGCTAAATATACTATATGGTCTATTCTTTCCATCAAGATTGAGAAGTAATATAAAAAGATCTGTGCATGCAAATTGACATAAAATTTGTTAATTGCGCTATTCAGTTTAAGTGTACATTATTTCTTTTATGATTACATAATTATACAAGATAGATAATCTATTTATTTCATGCTCTACATATTTTTTTTTATTTCGATAAGGTTCTCTCTGTTCTTTCTGTTTTTTTTAAATATATAACAGATGTCAGAGATTATGAAATTAAACCGTTCTTGACTGATTAACTAAAAAATGCAAATTCTACTTTTGATCTCGTGTTTGCCCAGTGACACAATTTACAAGAAATACAATTTCAAATTGAACGTTACAAATGCGATTCAATGTTAACCGTCAATATTGATACAAAATTTAGAAACTTTCTTATAAGAAATGAACAACTACTTAAGAATGTTTCATTTCTTTTTACTTACGATCCTGAGATTAATAGCGGATTAAAGTATTTTAATAAACCTTTCAGAATCCAGCATGCCTCCTCGATTTGATTTGGCTCTTGAGTAATGTCGTAAATAATGACACCGCAGGTAATCACCTCGGATAAAAGGAGATTTTTGTCGTCTGAATTTCTCATAATCACTGTCAGGTTGTCTGGGCACAAATACTATGGAACGGTAATGGAAATCAAATGGCGTTACACGCAAGCAAACCTAATGACGTCGATTTTTCAGTCACATATATTCTTTTATTTTTTGCAGCCACCTTTGTCTCATTTTATTACTGATGTCTCTCCATATGGCATAGTATAAAATAGGATAAGCTAAAGGCACGATTCATCATAATCCAGGTACTAAGATTTGAATTTACTATTTTGTGCCATATATTCAGAGAAAAAACAGAACAGTTTTTCATATATCTGCATTTATTTATTTGGAAGATATAATATATTGAAATCTAATATATTAAAATTGAGGCAAATGTAAAATCTTAATTGTTCAAATCCCTTTCGTCTTCTTAAAATAATAAATTTACTAAGTTATAATAAAAAAAAATCAAGAATTTAAACAATTTTATGAAAATTTTAATACATTATTAGAGGAAGAGATGATATTATGCCTTCACGCTCCTTTATATTAACTTTGTTAATAATCAATATTTTAAATTAAAGACTTAGTAATTTATATTTGTCAAAGCATTTTTAATCAATTTTAGACTCAAAGTTATGCAATGTTTATTACTTAGACGATATTTATAAAAATGTAACGATACTGCGTAATGGGTTGAAGAAAGATAGGGATGATAATGTGGCCCATTAAATTAGATTTTAAAAATTTATTTTGTTTAAACACTTCTAAACTCTTAGAACAATTTTATTCAAAACAAATAGACTTTTAAACTTAACCACAATTATTTTTTCAAAAAAATTTACACTACCTATGTAGAATATATGAAGTATAGATTAGTAGAGAATAACTACTTCAATATAAAAACCTCGAAAAAGAGGCATATCATTAACAATATCATCAACACGCTTAGGGAAGCGTGTTGATTTTACACGTACTTTTATTGTATTCGATAAGCGAATTGTAGTTCTACTACTAATCTATACTTCACATTACAGGTAGTGTAAATTTTTTTGAAAAAATAATTGTGGTTAAGTTTAAAAGTCTATTTGTTTTGAATATTAGCAAAATGCCATGCTATTAATGTTTCTTAACTTGAAATGTGTATAGCCGAATAAAATGTTAAATAAGGAACAAAATATCGAAGTGTCCATATATATGTATAATAATACGTTTTAATTTAAGAAGAATAAGGAAGTATGTACAATTAATTTCAGATGTTGTCTACTGATATATTAGCGCCAGTACATAATGGTAGCTTACTCAATTAATAATTACGCAAGTCAATCGTAGAATCCGTCACTTACGAAGATACTGAAATCAATAGCGAACTCGAACAATGTTGATAACGTATAGATGATTGTCACTAACACAATCACACTATCCTTTTCGTATTTTTTGTATATACAGAACTTACATAAATGTGTGTTGCTTTGTTGTACTATATTCATCGAAAAACCTAACCATGCATGTATAGAAATCTTTCTGCAAACTTCTCGAATATTCTTAAGCTTCTGAATACAAAAGTACAGCAATTTAAAAAAATTTTTTTGTTTGGAGCATACTTTCGTTACGCACAAATTGCGAAATTTTTGGATTAGGTAAATATTATGCTGACAGCTTGAGATTTTACATTAAAACATTGTTTTCGTTTTCATCATATATTGAGAGCAATACTACATATATAATACCAAATGTCTGAAATATATCCCAGAGACGTTCCAGAAACAATATGATATCTCTGGGATGTATTTCGGACATTTATGCTGTATGGGTTACTATTTATTTTTATTTATTTTTGCACGTACTTTTATTGTACAGAGTGTGTCAGTTAAATCCGGACAAAATAAACAATGTATTTAACAAAAATTTAATGTATTTAACAATGTATTTAACAAAAGTCAAACGTACAAAATTACATAAAAACCTTTTTTCGTGTCATTTGTGGAACCGTTATAAGCAAAAATTACTCAATGTAATCACTGTCTGTTGCAATTACTATGTCGATCCTGGGCCTGAAGCGATTGCACGCTCTCTGCAACGCCGGCTTGTCCATATTGAAAAATGTTGCTTCAATAAGCCTGGAGAGATGCCATATTAAGATGTCTCGACTTGTTAGTGACCCTTTCAATCACGCTCCACATTTAATAGTGCAACGGATTTAAATCTGGACTATTCGGAGGCCAAAACTCTGCTCCAAAACATGTCGACGTTGTCCGACAGCCAGTTTTAGACTAAATGACTCGTGTGAGCTAGTGCACCGTCCTGTTGGAAGATGTAGGTCCTTTTCGGGTATACGGTGCATGGTAGCCTCGTTCAAAACCCAAAATTGTCGCCAATTTTCTGAGACTGCCTTGGGTCTTCTGCGATCAGCTCTTATCAGCTTATAGACAACTTCCTTGCCAACCTCTCTCTTGAATGGCTCTTTCTCGACCGGTTTGCGAAATCTTTTTCGGACTTCTCCGAAGCCTTATACTTAGCGGAAACTTCGTAAACTGTCGATCTCGGATATTTAAAGAACTCAATTATTTTGACCGGCGTACGTCTAGCGCGAAGACTTTCAATAATTGCCGTTCTTCGGTTATATTCCATGCTCGATCTTGACTGCTTAGCCATTTTGAGATTATGTTCGTTCAGAATATTGTTTTAGCTTATTTGGACACAAATACCAACTTAGCGTTGAAGTAAAATATGGCGAAAAATTTAAGTTGAAATTTGTATTTAGCTGACGCATCCTGTATAAAAGCATTTGTAATTCTGTACAACCAATACAACATAAATTTTGCAGAAAAATGTCAGTATACTGTCGGTAAAGTTTTAGCTTTAGTATCCCCTTAATGAAAATATTAAGAGGAATCCCTATAATTATACAAGCCATAGTACTTCCTCCTCTACTCATAAGCAACTGAGATATTGGATATTAATTGATAAAAATATTCTTTTACTAAAACATAATTGGCAAAGCAATAATCAAAATTAATGGTTATGTATGTAATCACATGCACAGGAATATCTTAATCGATTGATTAAATTAATTATTATTCGATGCATAATCAATCACATTAATGTTTGATTAATAATTAATTTCATTAATCCATGAAATTATTCGTGATTTTATATAAAATAAACGATATTATAATGTAGTCATATATAATAATTGATTAATTTTGATTATTGACTTATCGGTTATAAAAGAAAATTTTACTTCTCTCAGATAATATTATAATATAATTTTAAGTTCACAAATAATGTTATTGTAATGTTATTGTATTGTTATAATATAATTGTTTATTATCCAAGAAATATTATAATATAATGTAATATAACGCATAATTTTTTATGGAAATGTATTCTCTTTAGAAAATATTATATAAAATATCGCGATAAAATATTATACAAAATTTAATACATGCGAATATATATTATATTTAAGTTGTTATTAACTAATAAAGATAGATGTAAAAAGTTTTGTAAGTTTTACTGAGTATAATATATAAAACGAAATAATAAGATAAAATTTTGATAAACCGAAATAATAAAAAGCTCCTCGAATAGATTAACTAACAGTGAGATTTGAAACGGCACATAAGGAGCAAGCACGGATGTCTTAGTGCTATTAAATACTAATATTACTTTTTAATATTAATATGATTGTGGGAGGATTGTGGGAAATTGTCCAGTATGTTAAACGCACGTATCGAAATTTTTTCTTTGATTATCGTACGCGGAGAATTAACCTTCCATACTTAGACCGATTCTTGAGTCCCAATTTTTATATATATATTTTAAAAATATATATATAAAAATATAATATATATATATATATATACATATATATATAAATTGGGACTCAAGGATCGGTCTAAGTATGGAAGGTTGATTCTCCGCGTACGATAATCGAAGAAAAAATTTTGATACGTGCGTTTAACATACTGAACAGTTTTATCCTCCCACGATCATATTAATATTAAAAAGTAATATTAGTATTTAATAGCACTAAGACATCCGTGCTTGCTTCTTATGTGCCGTTTCAAATCTCACTGTTATAAAATTTTGACTTTGGAGTTATAACAACCTCTCCAAAATAAGATTTAATGCGAAATATACGAAGATACGTGATGTGAAAATAATGATAATACATATCAATTATGTTTACATGTAAACACATTGTTGATGTCAGGTGAATTTGACGATTATAAGATGTAGTAAAGGTATATGTTGAATAAAAATACATGTTGAAATCGAAAGAAGACATCCAGTAAAAGCAAACTCGTTAATCTCCAAATAATCAGAAATCATCGTTAATTAAACTTAAAATTAAAAAAAAGTAAAAAAAAAGAGAAAAAATGTGAGTACATTACCTCGCGGTCCAGAACTGTACCAATCACTTCGTATTTTCGTGAAACTACAGTACTCTTGTCTGGCCACTTTCTTTTCCCTATTTCTTCTTCCTCCACGTGTTCGTCGTCCTCGTTCTCGAATTCTTCGCCTTCTTCATTTGGCAAGACATCTACGCGCGTATTTCGCGTAGCGACGTACACGGTATCCGATAATACCTGTGAATGTTTTAGTTCTTGAGGTGATAAAATTTTAACACAAGATATCAGCACAAATTTGTCACTTAACTTTACTTTACTTAATAATTACACTTAATTTTTATACTTCGTTGTAAAAGTATAGCTGAGAAGCGCACGCTTGTTTACATTATTATTGAGAAATGCAATATATTTTTTCTACTACAATAAATTTGATTATATCTTGTTACGGAGCATAACCAAAGGGATAAACGTGAGTCATAAAACCAATAATCTGTTTTCGTAGATAGTTCGGATAGTGGAAAAGGAAGGACATGCTACCACTACGTATTTGAGTAAATGAACATCCCATGATAAGATAAGATCGATTTAAAGTGCACTTTATTTAGTATATCTTCATGTATACAAGGTGTCCCAGATTCTTCTTTGCATATCTTGTAAGAATGTAAAATGAGTTGAGGTGAACATAAAAATCTTATATAGTTTTACGATATTCGCAATAATAACTGAGAAATTAATTGTAAAAGTTAAGGAAAAACGCACGCTGAATGGTTGAGGGAGGAGCACTCAAGGTCTAATAATACACTGTAAAAAATTTGTGTAAAATTTCATGTAATTATGAGGCCAAGTATTATATTTGTAAATTTACACAAGGTATCAAAATGTGTCTTTCATCTATATAAATATATTTTTATACGATAATTACGTGTGTAAATTTACATATAAAATAGTTGGTCTCAAAATTACCCACTATAATTGTTCGGGATTCGGAGCAGATGAGTTTCAAGGATAATATTCAGTCAACTCAATAACATTCCAAGAGAAATAAGTGACACGTCTGTTCCGAAACTCGAGCATATTTATTCGCGAATAATTGCTCGTAAGGACACGTAAACACGCGGGTCCGCGGCGCTTGCCGGATAATCAGCTCGCCACGTCTAAACAATCGTTGACGTTGACATAACAACCGCGAACTAAACAATAATTCCACGAATCGTCAGCCGGCACGCGCCGCGGATCTCCGCATCTCAACGCTTTATTTCCTTTTAAGGAAATCAACGCGCGACAGAGCACAACCGATAGGGGTATTAGATACCGCTCACAACGGCTACTTCTCTTCTTCTTGTAGATTTTCGCTCGACGTTTCCGCCGTATGCATCTAGAACCATCGTGGTCCCCGAATCCTCACTCTCGCTTATCGGTATAAGCATTCGCTCGGGTGACTCTCAGCGGTATCGATAAATTCAAGTCGCGATCGTCGCGTCGGAAGCCGCTATCCGCTATTCGTACAACTATCACCCTATTGAAGTGTGCTCTTTCGCGCGCCCGGGAACGGACAGTCCAGTGAGATCCACGTCCCGGATTCAGCAAAGGCACGTCCGCATTCGCCGCCCAAATCTGTGGAAGCCGTCGGCTATTAAGTTTTAACACTTTAAGAATATTAGAACTGGTTACGCCAAGGTTCGATAACTCCGCGGGTCACAAACGGAGATCACCGCGTTTGAAGATTTCCGGCGTCCGCGGCAAGAGATCACGAGCTGTAAAAGGCGACAAGACCATACGATCCTGCGCAACCGAATAAAGTTGTTTTCATTAACTATCTCGAGACTGAGTTAATTTGTCCTCACACCACTGGATCGCCCGCTTCTCACGCCACCGGACCTCGTGCGAGGTCGTATCAGAGATTCCGCTACATCACGCGGACTTTCTGATACAATAATCGATATAATTTTACATAAATTTTTTACAGTGTATAGCGCACGGATGTCGGCGCGCGGTGATTGGAAAAACAACGCACCATTGCCTATACTTATATCTCTGCGCTCTTACATCTCGCCTTGGCGGTGTGCGGCGAGACATAGGATCATAGTGATATATAGAGACCCTCAAACAGAGACTGGCCATTGGAGGTCTCCACGTGATTGGTGCACGGGATGGTGGTCGGAAAATTGCGACATCAATATAAAGCGGGAAGCACATACTCTTGCATAAAGGCATAATGCATAACGAATAAGATAATTAACAAATCAGAATCCTCATTTCTATTGCCATGATAAAAATAAAGGACTCTGATTGGTCAATTTTCTTATACGTTATGCATTATGCCTTTATGCAAGAGTGTGTGCTCCCCGCTTAAGTTATAGTGAGAAAACTATACTCGTCTCACACTACTAATTGCACTACTAAGTATAGCAGTGCAGCGAAAAAGTACAGACAAACACACATCCTTACAAGTTCACGTATTTACGGCTGCCATTATTTCGGGTCATATTCTCTAGCATGGCCAGTCTCTGTTATACACTCTCCTCCGGGCATTTTGTAGGGACGTAGAATGGGTTAATGTGAACATAAAAGTCCTATAGTCCCGTTTTGCGATATTCGCAATAATTATCGAGATATTAATTGTAGAAAATTTGTGAATCATCATGCAGGATATAGTAAATAAGTTATAATAGCGACGACTGCCGTCGTATACTTATACTTTAAATTGAATAAAAAAGTCCTCTACCATTTTGCAAATAATCACATAGATTTTTAATTATTAATTAAAGAAGATGAGTGCATTATCACGCAAAATCGTGCAATAATTTTATGTTTACCTCAACCTGTTCTATGTCCCGACAAAATGTCTGGAGGAGAGTGTGAGACACCCTATGTAAGACGCGCGCTGACATCTGCCTGCTATATTACTGAGTCGCGAGCGCTCCTCCCTCAACTATTCAATATGCGTTTTTCCTTAATCTTTTACAATTAATTTCTCGGTTATTATTGTGAATATCGCAAAACGGCATGGGACTTTTATGTTCATTTTAACTCGTTTTACATTCCCACAAAATATGCGGAGGAGAGTCTGGGATACCCTATATGTGTTAACGCAAAAAGTTTATGTTCTTTACACATTCACTTACGCTTTTTACTTATATTTTTCTCTCATTGGACGAAGTGGTCTATACGTAATTCTAATTTAATTGCCGAAACTTCGCCACACAAATATGTGCTTTAATATATAAGATATTAATATATAAGATAAGCTGTAATAGCTATAGTATTAATATAAAATAAGCTATAATGATACAAATTAACAAATCTTCGTTGCGGTATACAGCTACGAAAAGTTTCTTCGGAAAATCGTAAGAGCAATAACAACCGTAGAGTTAATTCTCATAGAAATTTCTCGTTTTTCTAAAAAGTATGTAAAATACAAGTTATGTAAATAAACCTTGCTAGTGCATATGTGAGTAGATCACTAATGTAAAAAAGCATTATCTTATAAAAATCATTTGCGGATGTCTAGAGTGAAATTAAATTTTTAATTATGAGAGAATAATAATGTTTGACAGTAGTAAACGCGTATGATTACACTTGGCCTAGCATATGCGACGAATAAATTTTCTATGTAAAACAAATCTTTTATCCCAATTATTTCATGTTCGATTCCTGGCTGAGGCAGTATTTTTCATAACTTTTAATATAAATAAAAAAATGCACAGTCGAATGGGATAGAGATTGTGCATTAATAAAACTAATAATAATTAGAAAAGTCGAGTTTATACATATAGAATAAAGATTAATTTATCTTATATGTTAAGTCGAGAATAATTGGTCATATACGTTTGTTACTATCAAATGTTACTATTTTGTCATAATTTTAAATTTAATTTTGCACTAGACATCTATGAATGGCTTTTATAAAGCCATATTTTTTTCACATTAATAATATAAATTTCATGTTGTAGCAACTAGTCTACCTTTGTTAGTTTAAGTGATTGTTCTATTTTAATTGACAAAAGTAAAAAGAAGAGGATTTCTATAATTATATTTTCCTATTTTTATTACTGTACGCCAGCATGAACAAATGATATACAAAACAAATTTTATATATTCGTTTATATACATGTCCTTATGATTGAATTATAACTTTCAGCACTAGGGATTTACTTTTTATTGTATCGTTGAAGATAATTTTACTACGGTGTACACGTGTTTTGAAGCATTCTTTTTTTAAGTATTTGATTCAAAGTAAAACCTTATGGTATGCTTTAATTGTATTATTGAATCCCTTTTCAACATTACAGAATCGTTCCGATTCTTTAGTCACTATACCCTTTATCTCTTTTTTAGATAAATTTAATCTGTAGCTTTTTTTTCTAATAATCACGTTTTTTGCCTTAAATAATACGTAAGATATAAATCACAGAAATAGAATAAGCGAAATAATATAATACTATAATTATATAACTTTCCTTCAAAATGTTTATTAATGTGTTTGTAAATCCTTAGATAATTTTATATAGTTTTAAAATGTGTCAAATTTGTTTTAAGAATGGTACTCACGTCAGCTAATAATTTTCCGTGATAGCTGTCAATGTGATTGATAAAAACACGCCAGGGCTTAAAATATGATTTTGCATTTTTAATAAACAAATTGCGATCTTTTAGTCTTTTTCCAACCGCTTCATGGCCGGATAGATCGTTTAAAATAGCCGTGGTTATTGGCTCCGTTATTGATATATTTTGTTCAATATCCATTTTGTATATAAGGGACAGTTACTTCATAAGCATACGATATTTTGTTTTACAAAAGTACGAGATGAATTTTGACATTTCCAACTTCTCGGTACAACTTCAATACGATTGAAAATGTGTTAAATATATGCGCACATAAAGATAGTTTACACATTAAATGTTACACATTAATGCCCGTTTTCACCAATAGTGACCAATAGTGATTGTAAATTTTTCGTAGCTGTACACCGCAACAAAGATAATTTGTATCATTATGGTTTATTTTATATTAATATTGTAACTATTATAGCTTGTCTTATATATTAAAACACATATTTGTGTGGCGAAGATTCGGCAATTAAATTAGAATTACGTATAGACCGCTTTGTCCAATGAGAGAAAAATAAAGAGTGTAAGTGAATGTATGAAGAACATAAACTTTTCGCGTAGATATTAAACTATGTTTATCTGAATGTCGTTTAAAATGAATGTTAGTTTAAGCTCGGTTTAGATATCGCTTTCCACCAACTTTTTTAGGGCCGGTTTTGCAATAGCAGTTTAAATTTTGATTCAAGTTTAAACTTTATCTTAATAATGCGTTTGTTTTGTTCAAACAGAGTTTAAGTTGAAATCTAAGTTTAAACTATCATTAAAAAACCGACCTTTAGAAAGCATCGTTTAAGTACACTTATACTCTGTGCGATAAAACTTTTCTAGTTATCAGCATGGACGTAAGAATATCTGAACAGAGCACAAATGCGACTATCGACGAGGAACTGTGAAGGGGCAAGGGGCTTACGAGGCAAGAGGAGTACATCGTCGCAGCCATGTTGGTACAGGAGCTTTTGTATCTATTTTCACTCTGTCAAAATCATAGATTTCTATGTATAAACTAAACTGCTAATATTTAGTTATGTATTTAGCGAGTGATCGGAAAAATATCGGGCGGCCATCTTTGAAAGGACCGTATCATATAGGAGTAGTAATGACACGCACTATAGCATATTGCTTCCTCCCACTCACACATTGCCACTCAGGTCACGTATGTGAAGTCTTTTCAAAGATAGCGGACGGTATTTTTCCGAATAAAACAATCCGATTTAAACAATCCTTAACTAAACTATACCTATTTAGTATCTATTATATTATATAAAAGTCTGTAATCAAAATAGCGATCGTCGTCATCTTAGTACATCAACTCCATTGCAATACATATATCATTCCCCTCACCCCTTGAGCTTTATCCCCGCGACAATATGCTCCGTCCAGATATTCTTACGTTCATCGTTATCAGTAGAGTAAGAGCCTTCGCACCAGAATATCCGTAACCCAGATAACATTGGCTAGAGAGATATCCGTAGAACTCTAAAGTAGTGTCTTAGTTGATCGGAAAATGTGACCATATTAGCGGAAATATAGAGCAATTAATTGGATAATAAGAGTATGCGCCAACTAAAAATAAACCTTCTTGCATTTTATGTAAAACATAGTTATAAGACTATTAAATTACTTTAAAAGAATATAGGTTTCTGTTTCCTTAGGATAAAAAATGAATTACTATAGTAGTCGACTACTAAGACTTTGCTTTTAAACTATGATAGGAGATTTTTCGTTCATATTTTAAGATGATATTGTTTAGGCAATATAGTTTTCTTTTTGCTCGATATAATAACTAGATATATTTTCTAATAAATGTTGTCATTAGTAGATGATCATTTAGCAATCTTCAAAAATTGGAAAAATGTACAACTACAATAACCTCCAACTGTGGCTATACATTCACGCTATTGTTGGAGACTTTTCGATTGTACTTTAGAATGATATTGTTGGACGAATGTAGTATGCTTTTTCTTGCTAAAATAATTACATAATTTTTATAACTATAGTTGATGATCATTAAGCAATTTTCATAATGTCGCAAATTATACGACTATGTTAACCTTCTATTATCACTTTATTTTTCTGTTAGTGTTGAAGATTTCTCAATTATACTTTAGAATAATACGACCGTACATAATATGACTGTTCCCGAGAGTGTGTGGCGTGTTCCTTAATTACGTGCGTTCAGTGATTCGTTGTTAACGTGACTCGGCCAAACGAAAATAAGCACCACATGATGGAGAGAAAACGAAATCTTCCGCGTAGCTCGCGTAAAAGTTTTGATAAATTATCTATCAGGCAAAAAAGATTGCATCATCGAACAATATTAAATGCGACTATAAATGCGCTTAATGCACCACAAGTTCAATCCAGCGATAACCTCAAAGAAAACAACATAGCATGTGAACATGTTTCATGCCATACTGGAAGTGCTCTTATTATTGATAGGGATAATAATACATCATTAATAAATACTGACAGCAGTAATTATTCCGATACAAGTGATGAGAGTGACAATGATATTATTTTAAACAATATTAATAAGGAGATTTTCATCGATTTTAGAGCAACACTAGCACAAGCATGTATTGAAAACCACATGACTCATATGCAGATAAATTCTATTCTAAAAGTATTGCAAAAACATGAATGTTTCAAAAACCTTCCTAAAGATGCTAGAACATTATTAGGTACACCGAAAGACTGTAACAAAAAAATTAGAGACGTTTTCCCAGGTCAATATCTTCATTTGGGTATTTGTGAAAACATTTTAAAGAAATTATCACTCTGTAATGAAGTGCCCTTGGAAATTTTGATTGACATTAGTACTGATGGAGCAAACGTTTATGAAAGTGTTAATTTTGATATTTGGCCCATTCAATTTCGAATTATTAATATCAAAGACAAAACTCCAATGATTGCGGGAATCTACGCAGGACCTAAAAAACCAACCGATTTTATAGATTTCTTTAAAGAATTCAATTTAGAACTGTTGCAATTACTCGAAAAAGGTATTCCGTTTAACGATAAAATTGTAAGAATAAAATTAAATTGCTTTATTGCTGACACACCTGCTAGGCACACATGCTTAAATATTAAGGGACACGCCGGATTTAATTGTTGCAACAAATGTAAAATACCAGGCGAAAGGCATAAAACAGATAGGACTATTATTTTTAAAGGAACGAATCATCTTCCGCAGATTGATGAAGAATATCGTCAGAAAGAAAAGATGGACGTAAATCATCATCATGGTTACTCGGTTCTGCATTCATTATCATTGGATTTAGTACGTCAAACTCCGCTAGATAGTATGCATTTAGTGTACTTAGGAGTAGTCAAACAAATAATCGTAAAAGCATGACTAGAAGGGTTCTATCGGCCAACGAAATTAAAAGATGTTGTAAAAGATCGTATTTCAAATCGCCTTTCAACATTAATTAATTACTGCCCATGTGAATTTTCTCGAAAACCGAGAAGACTGGATTTTTGCCGACGTTTTAAAGCAACTGAGTTTCGACAATTGTTATTATCTACGGGACCAACTGTTTTGTTAGATTTGTTTGGTGACGATGAACGAATGCAGCATTTTTTAAAATTACATTATGCGATCCGTATTCTTGTATCATCAAATGAAAGAACCCACAATGATATTGAAAAAGCAAAAATGATTTTAGAATCATTTGTAACTGACAGTATTTCTGTTTATGGTAGAAACTTTTTATCGTACAATGTCCATAATCTAATTCATTTAACGGATGATGTTCATAATTTCGGTCCACTGGATCATTTTTCTTGTTTTCCGTTTGAGAATAATATGATGTTTTTTAAAAAAGTGGTTCGTAAACCTTCTATGTCATTACAACAGATTTATAATCGTTACATAGAGACAAAAAATCACGATTTCCAGAGTTCTTCGCAAAATCCCACTTTCACGACTCGTGTATATCGTCAAAAATTACATAAAGGCCCTCATGTGCATCAGCAAGAAAACATAAAGCAGTTTTCATGTATTAAAATAAATGGAGTTACTTACAAATTAGACAAAAGCAATCATTGTTGCATTTTACAAGATGGTACTGTTTGCATTATAGTGAATATATTACAATATGATGATGACAATGAGTATCGTTTAATTGTACAAAAATTTCAAGTTATTAATGCATTTTATAACATCAATAATTTAAACTCACAAGAAGTAGGAATTTTTAAATGTACAGAGTTATCTCGAGATACATATGAAATTTCATTTCGGGATGTTAAATCCAAGGCTTATAAAATGCCTTTTTGGCAAAACGCAGAACTAGACTTTGAAAGAAACATTAATATTATAGTTGAAATTTATAATGATGAATGGTTATTACATTAACTTAACTTTTATATATTTCGTATTGTTTAAATATTAATACAAATAACTAAATTTAATAATTATTTTAATAATGCGTCTATTAAAATGTTAATTAAAATTTTATAATAAAAATTTTATATTACTTTATAAAATTTTATAAAGTAATATTTATTAATAATAATGTATATCGAAAATTAAGTTCGAAAACATTTAAATTAAAAGAAATGCGCGGGAAATTGTATGCACACGGTTAAACAAGTGAACACAGAGGAGTTAGCTTCTTCTTTCCGCTTTCTTCATAACCTAAAGCTTCAACGGCAGCCACAACACTTGTGTTTGTCGCGTTTAGTGTTCAGTGTTTCATTATGGAAATGCGTAATAGTGCCGAAAATATAAACATACATAACATGGATAACCAAGCTGATCGAAATATTGGAACCATATGCTGTATGTATGAGTCCTTCCACGCGTGAAAAATTTCAAGACATTAAAGTTATATTTTGTTTTATTCATCTATTCCTTGCATTTCTTAGTGGATTCTACATCAATAAGCAATAATAACGTATACAATTTGTGTGGTACACTTGAACTCGAGCAAATGAAGGAATCGTCTAATGTGATTTCATCCAAGGAAAAATCTTTTTCAAATTTAATGTCTACATCACTTCCAGAAAATTCGTATTTAATTAATGACAAAACAGTTAATTTGTATCACCAAAGATGCCGAAATGAAGGTACCTATATCTTTTATAAAATTTTTGTAAATTTTTTATATATCATATTATTTAATTCTAATGTTTTGATTGTAGATTTACAAAGCACTTCAAGGTTACAGGATACTACAGATGATATTTCCATTTCACCTGTATTTCAATCAATAATGCAGAAATTAGAGTATGTACCTACCTAGTTGGTAGTCGTAAAAAAATGTTATCTTTTATCTAAAAACAATATAAATGAATATTATATCATAATATTCATTTATATTGTTTAATTAATTAATAAATTTATTTATTTATTTTATTCCATTTCCAAAAATAGACCCTTTTTAATATTTATCTTGTTATGTTATTTATATATTTTAGAAACGTAAGCAAACAAGTGCATTCAATTGGACAACAAGTGCATTTAATTGGACAACAAGTTAATACATTAGTTAGTATCCAAAGCTTGATAAATGATTCTCAGTCCATAATACAAGATTTGAATTTGCCGATATCCACGAGAGAAGAGTACCATGAATTTAATTCTGATAGCAAAAAGTTACAAATCTTAGTATGTATTGTACAAGAAAAATTATTCAATTTTTTAAATATAATATTAATAATCATTGTTATTTACTATTCTTATAGCAAACATATCTGGTCACATTAGGTGGTTTGGATTTGCGAGGGGCGTTAAATGATTTTTTAAAAGTCACCATCACTGATGAGTTTGTGGCAAGAAATATAACATGGAAAGAGGGAAATAATAAATTGCATTTTCGAGAAAGTGCAATAAGCCGGACTTTCTTTGGTAATTATTTTCGATTATAATTTCTTTTCAATAATTAATAATATTGCTTCTGATTATCTTAATAAATAATGTTGGCCATTTTAATTTATTTTATATCTTCATATTAAAATATCGGATATGATATGAGTCTGTAGTTAAATCAATAGTTTTCATGAAAACTTACTTGTTAGTAAATACATTCATATTTTATTCCATTTAAAATTTAACATTTATAATTTAACAAAAAATGTACTGCTTTTTTAATACTGTAATACTTACTGTAATAAGATATCGGTTTGATGTTTATATTTAAAAATACACAATAATACAATAAATTGAAATAAAAATAGTTATAAAGTATATTATGATGAATCACATTAATTGTTTAAAAATAATAAATTCTATTTTTGTCACTTTATAGCAATTTATATAACATTAAGTTTTGTAAAAGAAATTGAAAGAATGTTCGAATTGTTTAAATACAATAGTACTATTAAAGAATTTAATTCTTATTATAACATCAATCATTATTCTTTTAGGTGCTGCTTGTAGACTTGTTAGATTAGGACCGATCTCTTTTAAAGAATATTGTACAGAGATAAAATGTACTATTAAAAATGCAACTCAAAGAGTGTACATGTCAAAGGTTGTAAGACCCAGGAGAAAGCGGAATGTTGAAGAAATTGAAAAAGATGCTCATCTGATGCAAATGTATGAAGCGGCTTAATGATTTTTTTTCTTAAATAACGTTAATTTTTTATTTAAGGAATGATCAAACCTTTCTTTTACTTTGCATACAAAATTCATGTTCATATTGTAATTTTTACAACTGCAAAGTCAAATTACTTTTCTTTAAACACAAAATGTTATTTCATTAAGATTGATCATAATCGTTATGTTATTTTTATTTCAACAAGAGAAATAATTTAATATATATGTTTTAAGTTGTACCATTTTCTAAGTACTATAAAGTATTATAAGTATTATAAGTATTATAAGTGTTGTAAGTATTAAAGTTTTCTTTTTTAAATTCTTTAAAAAAATTTTTTTGATTGCGATTGTATTACTATATTATGCTATTTCTTTTATTATACTATATTGACTTATAATATTGAATTTTATCTACTAAAATTGAATTACGATATTGTTTTGTGACTAAATATATTTGTGACTAAATATATTGTTTTGTAACTAAATGATATTTTATTTTTCTACTCACGAACGAGTGCATTAAAGAAGAGGAGAATTAAAAGTCATGAAATTTTGAGTTTTACTAAATTCTTAATAATTAAACTTGACGAAATTGTTATTTAAGTATAATTATTCAGATTACAGAAAAATGTAATATCTTTGCTTTTCATTACTATCTTTTTCTTTATCTATAGTAGCACAGTAATATATTACATCGGTCTTACAGAAGTACTTTACAATATTGAAATTCGGATTTTTACATTTTTATATAATAACTATAGGTAACTAGAAGTAGATGTGATAATAATATTTAAAATGCTCTATCTTATCTTGATAATAACATGCCATTAATGCTTTTAAATATCAACAATTTAACGGCAGTGTACGTAACTACAACAACAATTTATTAAAATTCGGGTTTTAACGTTTTTATAATTAGAAAAAACTAGTAACGTCCCAAGAGTTGTGATAAAAAAGATTTATAATTTTTTATCAAAATTTGTGGGATTTTTCTAATTTTCTCTAATTATTATAAAAACGTAAAAATCTGAATTTCAATAAATTGTTAGTTATATTGCCGTTAAATCGTTGATATTTAAAAGCATTAATAGCATGTTGTTATCAAGATAAGGTAGAGCATTTTAAATATTATTACCACATCTACTTCTACTAACCTACAGTTATTTTATAATAGTGGACTATTATTGGGAAGCAAAAGCGAACTACATTTGCTCAAGATTAGAAACATATTGTAGGAGATAGAAAAGAAACTTCAGTTATACAATAGTAATGAACTCATGTATGAGACTAAAAGCAGGATACAGATTTTCGATAATAGAGACATATTGTACAAGATTACAAGTCTTATTTTAAAGTATGTGCATAATATCTTACTATCATATTTACCTACTTGTGTGCATTTTCGACGTTAACAAGGACACTTTTAGACTCTCTAAAATAGTATACTTTTAAACTATTATTAGGATGCTTGAATGTTATCTGGGATATATATATATATTCACGCCACATATGGTAAATATTGACTTCTTTTTATTAGTAACTATGTAAAAATTAAGATAAAATAAAATTATGGATTACACAAAAAACACTTGGCGTGCCCGTATCGCAATAAGGTGCATTGAAATTTACAAATTGATAATTGACAAAATAGTATTTAGAAAATATATTTAAATTATTTGTATACCCGGGCAGGCCATTTGTTTGTTGTGTGACACTTAATTTTATTTTATTTAAGGAACGATAGAAATATTTTATAGACCTAAATAAAATTGAATTTAAGCTGAGGTTTTGCTTGAATAAAGAAACGTTCCTAATTATATTAATTTCATCGTCGTCATTCAATATTATAAGTCAATATAGTATAATAAAAGAAATAGCATAATATAGTAATACAATCGCAATCAAAAAAATTTTTTTAAAGAATTTAAAAAAGAAAACTTTAATACTTACAACACTTATAATACTTATAATACTTATAATACTTTATAGTACTTAGAAAATGGTACAACTTAAAACATATATATTAAATTATTTCTCTTGTTGAAATAAAAATAACATAACGATTATGATCAATCTTAATGAAATAACATTTTGTGTTTAAAGAAAAGTAATTTGACTTTGCAGTTGTAAAAATTACAATATGAACATGAATTTTGTATGCAAAGTAAAAGAAAGGTTTGATCATTCCTTAAATAAAAAATTAACGTTATTTAAGAAAAAAAATCATTAAGCCGCTTCATACATTTGCATCAGATGAGCATCTTTTTCAATTTCTTCAACATTCCGCTTTCTCCTGGGTCTTACAACCTTTGACATGTACACTCTTTGAGTTGCATTTTTAATAGTACATTTTATCTCTGTACAATATTCTTTAAAAGAGATCGGTCCTAATCTAACAAGTCTACAAGCAGCACCTAAAAGAATAATGATTGATGTTATAATAAGAATTAAATTCTTTAATAGTACTATTGTATTTAAACAATTCGAACATTCTTTCAATTTCTTTTACAAAACTTAATGTTATATAAATTGCTATAAAGTGACAAAAATAGAATTTATTATTTTTAAACAATTAATGTGATTCATCATAATATACTTTATAACTATTTTTATTTCAATTTATTGTATTATTGTGTATTTTTAAATATAAACATCAAACCGATATCTTATTACAGTAAGTATTACAGTATTAAAAAAGCAGTACATTTTTTGTTAAATTATAAATGTTAAATTTTAAATGGAATAAAATATGAATGTATTTACTAACAAGTAAGTTTTCATGAAAACTATTGATTTAACTACAGACTCATATCATATCCGATATTTCAATATGAAGATATAAAATAAATTAAAATGGCCAACATTATTTATTAAGATAATCAGAAGCAATATTATTAATTATTAAAAAGAAATTATAATCGAAAATAATTACCAAAGAAAGTCCGGCTTATTGCACTTTCTCGAAAATGCAATTTATTATTTCCCTCTTTCCATGTTATATTTCTTGCCACAAACTCATCAGTGATGGTGACTTTTAAAAAATCATTTAACGCCC